CCACACCACACGCTTATATACACACCACATAACACACACATGTACATAGACATACACACAACACACATATACACAGACACAGCACATACACACCCACATATATACAGCACACACACACTATACCACATACATTTATACACACACCACACACACAAACACACATATACACAGAGGCATAACACACACCATACCACACACATTCTATACACACACACCACAAAAAAACAAACAAACAAAAAAAACAACAAAAAAAAACCACACCACATCACACACACAGGTAGAAATTTAAGAAGAAAAAAATTTTGTAATGAAATGTTCATTTTTGTCAGTCTAGAAAACACATTCTCGAATTTACTTTTGTGTGTAATCTGTGTGTTTTGCACAGGTCTTCTGACCAAGGTGCACTCCAGATTGAACAGGTCAGCAGGGGAACAATCTATGTTCAGAGAGCTTCCACTTAAAAATCTTATTTGGCCTATTTAAATACTAACTTTTGGTTTAATTTTCTAGAGAAACTCGGAAAACATCACATTTTTATTTTTATGTGGTAGTTTTCCCCAAGTTGAATTTCGTTTTTATGGACTCAATAAAAAATAGATCTCATTCTGAAGGGAAAAGTTTTTCCCCAAAACTAGAACCTAAGGGATGTTTTAAGATCATCACCTGGAAATTCTGAAGTTGGAATCTTTTAAAACCATTTTTAAAACATTTTACCTGCCCTAATTCAATAATTGACTTATTTGATAATTCTTTTCTCTGATTAGATTCTGTTGCCTTTGCCTCATGGAAGAAAGCTGTGGTTGGTAAAATGAGCTGATTCTAGATCTGTACGAAGCAAATATGTGGTGCCAGGGTTCACTGTGGGTCCACTATAGATATGGACATATGTGCAGGCACACCTACATGCACACACACATAAGCACATGCACACACGTATGTGCCAGGCTCACACACATGTACAGACATGCACACACACACAATATGTGCCAGGCTCACACACATTCAGACATGCACACACAAGCACACACCTATGTGCCATGCTCACACGCACATACACACATACACATCACATGTGCATATGTGCACATCACAAGACACACGTGCACACATACATATGTACAATTAAATGGCACCAAAAATGGAAACTTATTTTCAGTGATTGAAAAACTGTTTTTGGAGCCTTGTACTGATGAGATTGTAGTGTCAGAGAGGCGATCCCAGGGAGCAGGAGTAAGAACAGAGAGGAGAGGCTCCCGCAGAGGCCTGGGAAGCCGTCGGAAGGCTGTACTATTGATCTATGAAGTGTCAGCTGTGGCCCTGGGACCGGCCCTCTGGGACCTGCTGGGAGCATGAGCATTGCCTGTGAGAATGGTCTGCTGAGATCACAGGAGAGAAGGCTCTTTCAGCACCTTGGGGTAGGGATGCTGGGGTGACAAGTGCCCTCCACTCTGGGCTGGGTGTCTGCTATGCAAACCCACCGTTGCCACGGCCATGCTGGGTGACAGGTCACCCACACACAGTGGCTTACGAGACGGGCGTCTGCCATCCTGCCAGGGGTGAAGTTCTGCTGATGGGGGAGAGAGGAGCAGGCATGAACACGGGGTGGGGGTTCCACTGAACAGACAGGATCTGGGAGGGTCCTAGGAGGCAGGAAGCGGTGGAGCCACAGGAATTGTGTCCATGCTGCTCACACAGACGAGGGCCCTGAGGGCTCAGCGGGACAGGGTGGCCACAGTGGGGTCTGTCCAGCCTCGGAAGCTGTTCAGAACCATCATCACCTGAGCAGGGCAGAGACAGACCCGTGAGAGCATTTAGATGAAAAGCACGTGGGCGTGATGTAGAGTCGGCCTCACTGCGGCATCCCCCAGGTGGAAGAGTTTGGTTAGTTGAGGCTGCAGGTTCTCTCCTCATTCTTTCTATTTAGACAGTGCAATGGTGGCAGATGCTGCTGCCTGATAAACTGGTGGGAGGAGTGTCTGGCTGTGCCTGGGAGTGTGATGCTCACCGCACCGTCCGGGCCTCGGCCGCGCCCCCACCTCCCAGCATCTGCTCACACCTGGACACGAACGTCCCCACACACAGAGGGCCAGTCGCCCACTCTCAACTGCTCCCACTTCTCTTCAGATCATTCGTTCACTCCCCATCCTGTATTATTTTTAAGGATTTTCTTAAAAATAGGATTTGATATTCTGTGTAACAGCAATACTGAAAATCATGTTACCTGACACTGTATTTAATATTTATTTATGGCCAGCAAAGTGACATCTCAGTCTGTCTTATCTCCTTTCATATTAAGCAGTAAGTGTGCGGAACTGGAAAGCTGGATGATTTTGTAAGTCAGTTTGAAAAGTCCGCTTGCAGCTCTATGGAAATAACATGATAGGATGTATGCCTGTGCACTATAACTCTCCAGAAGTAACACGATAGCACATATTCCTGTGCACTCTGACTCTCCGGAAATAATGTGATAGCACGTATTCCTGTGCACTCTGACTCTCCGCAAAAACACGATAGTACATTTTCCTGTGCACTCTAACTCTCCAGAAATAACACGATAGCACGTATTCCTGTGCACTATAACTCTGTGGAAATAACACGATAGCACGTATTCCTGTGCACTATAACTCTATGGAAATAACACAATAGCATGTATTCCTGTGCACTGTAGCTCTACGGAAATAACACGATAGCACGTATTCCTGTGCACTGTAGCTCTACAGAAATAACACGATAGCACGTATTCCTGTGCACTGTAGCTCTACAGAAATAACACGATAGCACGTATTCCTGTGCGCTATAACTCTCTGGAAATCACATGATAGCATGTATTCCTGTGCACTGTAACTAACTTCGAACAGAAGTTACTGTATGAAAATCCCAAAACACCTGCTAGTTCTTCCTGGTCCAGCAAGCCCTGGTTCAGGGAAAATAGCTCCATGTACTGGAGCCTCATTTGGAGCCGATGAGGCCTCTGGAGAGCCTCACCCCAGCCCTGCCAGCATCACCACCAAGCAGGCACGGTACCTGGACTACCGAAGGCTGCCCCCTGTCCCACCGAGCCCACAGCTTCAGGGTGGTGGGGACGTGGTGAACTCGGAATTCCAGGAGCCAGGGCCCATGGCTGCCCTTCTTTGGCTGTGCAGTGAGGTCCTTGGTCAGAAGCAATGCCGTGTGGACCCCATGGTGGGGTGGGGCTTTCTGAGTCAGGGATGGCAGTTTGTGTGGCACACAGGGAAGGCAAATCCATGCCCCAGAGTGTCTGTTCCAGTCAGGACAGAAAAGCTCCCCAGGGAGCTGCTGCTCCCTGATGGAAGCCGTGGATGTGACCACCTGCTCCAGGCAGCTGGCCGACCCCAGGGGAATGGTGCCAACTTGGGGCTCTGTGCTGGCCTCTGCTGCCAGCTGATGGCACTCAGCGGTGGCGGTAACCGGTCAGCGTTGGTGGGTGGCGTCCACGGTGCTGAGTCCAGGGTCACTGCCTGAAGTTCTGACCACTGGGGGGATTTTGCCTCCCCACTGCCCTCAGGGATGTCTTGGGCAGGGGCTGTGGTGCTGCCATCCCCCACCTCTGGGCGATGCCTGCACATGGCATAGAACCTTCTGGAAAACTGGCCCGAGTCTACTTGTCTTCTGTCAACTGATCTAGGGAATTCTCCATGAGGCCACAGGTACAGGAGACAGACAGCCGCGTGGCAGGAGTGGGGACCAGGGATGTTACTTCCTCACTCGTGCCTTCAGGGCTTACACCAGAACCGTGTACACACCACATCCATTTGGTGACGAGAGCAGCTGTGCATGCCGGACTCTACGACATTGGGGCATAAGATAAACCCGGCTCATGTGGCAGCTCAGGGCCCATGGTTACATGTGCAGTTTCTACCAGGGCCCAGCAGCAGGCCAAGTTCACACATGAACAACATGATTGCAGGGTTCATGAACACAGCACCAGTCTCTGCCATATAGGGCCTAAGTAGTGTCCCCCAGTAAAGCTTTATAATTTTGTCTGCTTTGTCTTGAATACAGTAGCCTCCCCTATCAGTGGAGGAAGGCTGGCAAGATACCCAGTGGGTGCCTGAGGCGGTGACTAGCACCAACCCCCACTAGGCTCCAACTTTTCCTGCACACACAGTGACAGCAATGTTTACGTATAGATTAGGCACAGCGAGAGATTACAAACAGATAATAAAACAGAACAATTTTAACTACATACTGTAGTAAAATTTAAGTGAACATGGTCTCCCTTTTTCTCAGAATCTCTCACTGTACTGTACTGAGCTGTTTGAGGGGCAAGGTTGACCACAGGTAACAAACCCGGGAAGGAGAAACCTCGGGTAACGGGGAGACTATGGCGTCTTGAGAGCCGTGTTCTCGTGGACTCTACATTTTCACTGTGGCTGTACGTGATTATTTTAAATTATATTTTTAACCGTTTAGGGGTCTAGGGATGTGGTCAATATTGGAATGTTCATTATCGAGCCCACTTTTTCATGAAATCTTTTTGTTTCTAATAATTTGACTTTATTATTAGTTCTTCTTTAAGTGATGGACATTTCCATCACCCTTCCGTGTCTCGAACCTTCCTTTCCTTTCTTCTGTCATCTACAACTTAATTCCTCCATGGCTCAATGGGAGTGCCGGGGGGCAGGCCTCCCTTTCCAACCCTAGCTCATCTTCCCCATGAAGGCTCATGTCATCTATGGGGTTGATAAGTGTGTTACATGTGAGCGCATGCTAGAATGAGTGTCATGTATGAGCGTGGCATGTGTGTGTCATGTTACTGTGTCATGTGAGCATGTCATGTGTGAGCATGTCCGGTATGGGTGTGCTATAGTGTGTCATATGAGTGCATCATGTATGAGCGTGTCGTGTGTGAGCGTGTCATGTGTCGTGTGTGAGCATGTCATGTGAGCGTGTCATATGTGAGCATGTCGTGTGTGAGCGTGTCACACGTGAGTCTGTGCCATAACGAGGTGCTGACCTGATGTGGTGTTTCCCCGCAGATCACTGTGAGGAGCCCCTCGTGTCCACCCTACCCTCGTCGTCCTTCAGCAGCTCCTCCGAGCTGTCCAGCAGCCACAGTCCCAGCTTCGCCAGACTGAACCGGAGGGACGGTAGGTCCACTTCCCATCTCTTACTGATCCATGGTGGAGCTCATACAGTTTCAAGAATCAGCATCGCTTTTGCTAAGGGGTCATAAGTAAATTACTCAATGCGCAGAAAATAAAATTCTGAGTATTAAACAGGTTTGCAGGTATGTTTCTGTTAGAAATGCATAGCGTGTAAATGTTCTATCCATAGATCAAGATTGGCAGTGCGGGTTTCTCTCTGTACTGGTCTGTGGAGGGGACTGGGCAGGACAGGGCACGGGTGGCATGTGCCTAAGCATTGAGTATACCCAGTTCCATATGAAAATGTGCACAGGAAGTGGCATATACCAGGTTCTATTTATCTTGGAAAACGTATTTTCTATCACAACTATTCAATTTTTTGGGTACACAAGCCGCATTGAGTTATTCTTCAAGTCGAACAGAACTGGAAGCCGTCATCTCCATCACAGCTGTGGTCATTTCCATCACAGCTGTGGCCATCTCCATCACAGCTGTGGTCATCTCCATCACAGCTGTGGTCATCTCCATCACAGCTGTGGCCATCTCCATCACAGCTGTGGTCATCTCCATCACAGCTGTGGCCATCTCCATCACAGCTGTGGTCATCTCCATCACAGCTGTGGTCATTTCCATCACAGCTGTGGTCATTTCCATCACAGCTGTAGCCAATTCCACGAAACTCGGAGGGTTCAAAACAACTGAGATTCATTCCCTTGCAGTTCCGGGGGTCAAAGTCTGCAGTGGGGCTCACGGCACTAAGGTCAAGGTGTGGGCAGGGCTGGGTCCTTCTGGAGGCACCCGGAAGCATCTGTTTCCTCCTTCCCATGCCTGGAGGCACCTGTTCCTTGGCTTATGGTCCCTTCCCCAGCTTCAAACCAGCAGTGGCCACGGAGTTTTCTCTCCATCCATCCCTCTAGCCTTGGTTCTTCTATCTTCCTCTTTCCCATTTAAACATGTCTGGGTCAGATGATACTACCTCCTTCCCCCTGGATACCAGGATGGCATCTGGGTCAGACGACGCTGCTCCCCACTCCCCCCTGGATACCAGGATAGTGTCCTGGTCAGATGACTGGCAGCTTTCATGCCTTGTTGCCACACAAGATAGCCCCAACCTAGCTTCTGGGGGCAGATGTGGCATCTTCCGTGGCCTAGTGCTCTGCCCCCCACCGAGAGCTAGAAGAGTGGTCTTAAAAAATGCTTGCCAATTAAAAGCAAAGCAAAATTAATCCCTTCTCTCTGTCGTGAGTGCAAATGTGAAACTGCGTTTGTGGCCCTCTGGGCTCATTTTATTCCCATAGTCGAGGCTTCTTCTCTGGGATTGTGCTGAGCGGTGTGTGCCCCTGCGTAAAGACAAATGCACAAAACTGAGCCCCAAGTTGCTCTGGAGAAAGGAAGGGGTATAAAACTTACAGAGACAGGGACGAGAGTGCTGCAATTCTTGCAATGTAGTGCACGAGAGAACATCTGTGCACAGATTCCAGGGAGATCCAGCTGGCCCAGTGCTGCTCACATGGGGGGTGCCTGTGCAACCTGGGCCAAGTGGGGAGGACCCAGGACCTTAAGGCTGTGTAGGGAGGACCCCAGTGCCGTGTGGGGAGGAATCTGAGGCCACATGGGGAAGGACCCTAGGGCTGCATGGGGAGGACCCTCAGGCCATGTAGGGGGGACCCCAAGACCCTAAGGCCACTTGGGGATGACCCCAGGGCTGTGTGGGGAGGAACCTCAGGCCATGTGGGGAGGACTCTAGGGCTACATTCCACGCTCACTCTCCTGTTTCCTTCTCATCTGTGTGGAGCTGGTGCTCAACACTGGACCACATTTACTACAGTGAACATTGGGTGACACAAAAATACATAATTTGTATGCAATGTTTTGATATTTTACATTTTAATACAGGCAGACTGGTAGATAAATGATGTTTCCAAAGTGCTTATTACTGCACAGATATGCACACATGTGATGACACCTTGTCATTTTGTATTTTAAATTACAATTTAAAAATCATTTCACTATATAAGGCGTCTTTGGTGAAGAGGTGGCATGAGCTGTGTGAACACAGAGGTATCTGGCATTTGTGTTGGATACCAGGTAGGAACGGGAGTCCTGTGGGAAGTATCTCGCCACGGGTCATGGCTGTGCACTGGGGTTGGCCTCCCACTGTGACTGCCTCGTGGGACAAGCAGTCAGGGATCCCACGGCTTCCCCTGCACAAAAGATTCTAAGCAGAAACAGGGGCCTCCCTGAACTTGGGCTGACACAGCAGCAGGGGCCTCCCTAGGCTCAGGTCGGGACCCCAGCAGGTAAACTCAGCCTGGGACCCCAGCAGGGGCCTCCCTGGACTCGGGCCAGGACATTAGCAGGGGCCTCCCTGGACTTGGGCCGGGACCCCAGCAGGTAGACTTGGGCCAGGACCTCAATGGGTAGACTCAGGCTGGGACCCAGCAGAGGCCTCCGTGAACTCCCGCTCTCCTGCGGCTCTGCTTCCCCTCCACTCACAGGTGTCCCAGCCTCAGCTCATCATGGGCCCCATCTGACGTTTCTTCCTGGGGTGCTGCCCCCACAGGACTGGGCCCCTTAAATGACAGCATCCAGGGAGGCCGAGCTCCAGTATGAGCCCCACACCCAGGACCCCTTGCCCTGCAGCAGTGTTCCCCAACCCTCCCCCGCCCCCCACACCCTTGCTGTTGCTTCCTCACCACTCCCTCTGGCAGCCCTGGCAGCCCCGCCTTCACACCTGAGCCCAGCCTACATTCACACCTCAGCCCACCTCACCTTCACACCTGAGCCCGCCCCACAGGATCACAGCCACAGGGCCGACCTGGTGCCATTCTCTGTTCAGAATGCACTCAAAGGAGCTATTCCATGCATGCTTCATTTGGCAGTCTTTCTTTTTCTTCAAATGATATTATTTGAGCCCGATTACATCTGAATTTCTAATATCTGTCTCTAAGTGGATTAGCTTTATCCCTGAACACAAAGCGAGATGCGATTACAGCCACATTCCTTGGCCAACTGGCTTATCCACACTGTCACAGCAAAGAAAAGGGATATTTTTGTGCCACTGAAACACAACAAAAGGAGAAATAGTTTAGGAAAATTCATTTTTCATTCTTATTTGAGTCCTAATCATTGCACTCATTTAGAAGACACACAATATTTTTTCTGGAAATAAACTAGAAAAGTCTATACTTCAATCAATTACTCTCAAAGTTTTCACAGCTTATGCAATGAAAGGGGATAACATATTGAAATCACTAAGCTTATCCTCCGCGCTTCTGTGTAAATTTAGGAACAGATATACGTCTGGGCTCATTGCTGGCAGGGTGAGGTCGTCAGCCTGAGTGGCTCGAGGATCAGGGTCCGCCACGACAGAAATCATTTTAAGTCTCTATTTTCCCAGAGCTCATAATGAAGCCAGATATCAACCTCAATGAATTTTATTTGCATGTTAATTAAGTTTAAACCAGCCCATTTTAATTATCTCTTACTTGTTAATTCATTGTTTTTGATTGGGCTTTATTCTATTTTTCTCCCTCTTGATAGCCTGCAGCCCTCAAGAAAGAATTGCAAATTGAGAGTGAGTTATCAGAGGCCACAGGGCATTCTGGTGTTTTCGCATTTCTCATTGGGTTGGGATTGGGCTGCGAATGATGGCTGCACGAGTGATCTGGGCACGAATGAGGACACCAATAAAACATAAATTACTCAGCATCAGGAGCACGTAAAAACATTAGGTTTCCACAGCCATGCTGGGACCTCACAGTGAGAGAAGGAACAGGCAGAAAGCCAGCAATGCTCCAAGCACAGCATCTTCCCTGTGGACGGAATCCACTCCAAGACCCCAGGGGATGCCTGGAATCTTGGGTGGCACCAACACAGAACACGCTGCTGCTTGTATGCACAGATCTACCATCAAGTTTAAATACAAAGTGGGCAGAATAACAGACTAACAACAAAACTAATAATAACATAGAACTATAACAAAATACTGTAATACAAGTTTTGTGAACGTGGTCTCTCTCCCTGAAAATATATCATTGTATGGCAGGCCCCTTCTTGAGACGCTCACATGCCCACCTCCTGAGAGAGGTGAGCAACCACACACGCTGAGGCATGGGCCACATGACACATTTCCCTCTGTGGTGGTCCCCGGTCCCTACGCCCTCTGCAGCCATGGGCCATGTGGCATCTTTCCTTCTGTCCTGTCCCGGGTCCTCACACTCTGCAGCTGTGGGCCACATGACACTTCCTCTGTCCTGCCCCAGGTCTTCACGCTCTCTGCAGCCGTGGGCCACGTGACACTTCCCTCTGTGGTAGTCCCAGGTCCACACGCTGTGACGGTGTTGGTGGTCCGGCCTCAGCAGCAGGCAGTGTCCATGACTAATGGTCACCCAGACGGCTGAATACACTGGATGAGGGGGTGATTCACATTGAGGCCAACTTCACCAGGCTTCTTAGAGCAGGGTGAGATTTAAACTCGTGAAATATTATTCCTGAAGTTGCGTTGACCTCAGGGGGCTGAAACTGCAAAGAGCGAAACCTAGGATGAGGGGTACCGCCGTGGACAGCTCCTGTGTCTGTGTCTCCAAGGCGGGGCAGGGGTTCAGGATGTGAGGGTGGCTGTGCCCGGGTCACAGAGGGCAGGCGGCAGCAGTGTAGGGCACTTCACTGTCCCCAGGGGAGAGGAGAGAGGCTCTGAGGTCCTCTCTCACCCGGAATGCTGCTCTGGTGGGCTTCGAAGCCACCATGCTCTCAGCAAAGAGACTTGCTCAGTTTCCTTGGTAGGGGGAATTCAGTGGCCCGCGAGAGACTTCATAGCTAAAGAAGAATATAACAGTCAGCCAGTGTCAGTGATAACTCCAGCAATGCTACAGCGGCACAGCTGACTCCCATCCTTTAGTCATTGCTTAGTCACTGCTTCTGTGTGTGGAGTTTAGGTATAGCTTGAATTTTAATGTATCTCTTTAAATAAAATGTGTGTTGGTCTTTTAACATACACGATG